TAACAGTGAGTGTAGAGAACCGGAGACCCTTTTTACTGGAAATGAGGCATTCCATCTTAGTCCTCACGGATGACAACGCATTTGCTTTTTGATTCTTAATCGAGGATAGATGTAGATGTCTATAGGCTACAGCATCCACTTACCATCAGATGGGCTGTGTGCTCGCTTGTCGTACTTATTCTATAACAAATAGCAGTGCTTGCAGGTCTGAAGAGTAAAGAGAGGCAGTATCAGTACAGACTGTGAAGCACTCCATCTTAGTGCTTAAAGGTGACAACGTACCTGTAGCCTGTTTAAGGTTAGCTGCAGGTGTCCATGGACTGCAGTAGCCACTAACTAATAGTGTAGTAGTTATTTAAGTTTAGTTTTATAAAAACAAATTTCATGGTACGCGAGCGAACGGATTCCTATCTCCGCCGGCAGAAATAAAATCATTATAACAAAACCAGAAACTAATTTTACGAAGACCAGTGAAGTCAGGTACTTTGACTTACCATATAGTGGTGGCTTGAATCCACTACCCTTTATTATCACGTGGGTGTCAAAAGAGGCGATAGAGCTAAAGTGAAACAGCAAAATGGCAGCAGTAGCTTGCTGATAACGACTCTATAAAAAAAACCCGCCAACCAAACGTGACAACTATAGTAAATCTCTATGGTGCAGGCCTATATTCAGCAGTGGACTTTGGGGCAGCTAGGCATACTCTTCGTTGTCAAGATCCCTTTGAAGAATAAAGAGAGCCCCGCGAACAGCAGTAGGACGTATTTAGACTGTTACTTTAGTACTATAACAAAATAAATTTGACTTCTTAAACCTAACCGTGTTTGCGTTTAATATGTACATAGATATAACGGCCGTAATATTTTACCATGTTTACAAACATATAAGATAAAGAGATAAACAATACGTAATCATTTCTCATATTCACGCGAACATTACATCTTGAATTAAACTAGTTTTTAGCCGACATCAAAAAGGAGGAGACTTACAATTCGAATGTCTGTTTTTATAATGTATTTTATCGCGTTTAATTTACTTTTTTTACGTTCCCGAGGTTTCGAGACCTTTAAACAGGCAAATTGTAATTATTAGGCGATGCGATGTAAGTCTTATCTACTCAACAGAGACCAATATTTTTTGTGTTATTTCTTACGAAAAATTCGCGCTAGGCAAACGTTCCAAGTCCGCAACTTTATTTATTTTAATTTCAATGCGCTAGGTGACCTTCCAAGACCTAAACTTTATTCATTTTAATTTCAATGTCGATAATCAAATGCACCATATCGTGCCAAAAACGAATACATCAAAAAACAATGTCTAGTCTGTAATTCGCAGAGATAATGTTATCTTACTAATTTTAAATTAAAAAAAGATCCTCTGAAAATTTTAAATTCTCATTTAATTTCATTTTATCTTTCAATTCTCTCTTGTAAAGTAAACACACTAACCACCGTAGCGGTCGATTTACGATCTAACGACTATACATTTTTGTTTACACGCGACCTAAAATTAATGAAAGTAAATTAAACGTTACTGTTAATGTAACAAACTTTCAGTGCATTACTGTAAAGAGAAAGAACCACTCCCTGACCACTCTTAGTTTAACATTCGTACTTAGTTTTAACTTGATTTGTATACCTACTCATAATTTTATACTGCTGCGGTCTTTCACTTGCACTTGACAACTTTACTATAACTATAACTATAAGTACAACTAAATTCCGTACAACAATATCGAACACCGATGTTACTACATCAGTGTACGGTATTTGAACTAAATTGTACAGGATTGGAATTTTTTTTAAATAAAATATGGAATTTTAAATATTTTATTGTATTGTATACATAGTCAGCTTTTAATAGAATCGTGCTTACACTCGAGCACTATAGTTCCGGTCCGCGCAGTCTCTATTGACTGGGTGCAGATAGCCGATATTCTCTGTAAACGAAAATGCGGTCTGGAGGAATCACATGGCAATAAGCGATAAGACATTCCCAGTAACCGGAAGAGCAGCCGTGACCTAAGCCAGTTAGAAAGGCGATATCGCCGTAAGTGCAGTTCATTTTGTTTGCATCAAAATAGCCAAGAGTTTACACGTGCTGGCAGATAGCTCTGTGACACTGGGGTAACCATAATTGTTAATGGTCAGCGGCGGGACTATATTTACTTTATGCTATATTTACATATATTTCGTGTATATAAACTATACCCCGCATAAAAATAAATTGATACATATAAATCATTAATTAAATACTAATTGTGATTTTAAGCCCTAGTTTAAAGGTCAAGGCATCAATTTTAAAACAAACAAAACAAAGCGGCTTAACTTTAATTACGATGCGGGGCCACTGAAATTGTTAATTGCAATATACTTCATCTTCAACAGGCTACATAAGTGCAGTTAGAGATATTTACCGCCATTTGCCGGAAGCCATAAGACTTTCCTGTTATTTTCAATATACGGTACCATTTAACCATGTTTCGGTGCTGAATACACGATAAAATTTGTATGTGAGAAATGGAAACGTTTTCACGATATGTTTATCACTTTGTAATGTAATGAGAGAAGGCCTTTGTCAAGAAGTAAGACGTTTCATCCAGGGACTTGAAAAGTAAATTAATTTCGTTTCGTTACACTAAATGTTATCTCATAACGTTCCAAAGTTGATAACGATACTAAAACCTAAAATTATCTATAACGTTATAAAAATAACGTTAAAGAATATCATTTTCGTAGAACAATAATTTTCGTTATGTTATAGGTATCGGTAACATTATGCCTATAATATCCGCTTATAATATTTTAACGCTAATCTTTTTAACGTTAAATATCGTTATCGCACCCCGAACAAGCCACCGCCGCCGTATCTAAGCATTACCATTAACTTCGTAGAGATAGTGCGCATCGCATATTATATAAAATATGTAAAGTATGTGTCACAATCTTTGGCAGATTAATAATGAATTAAATATACCGTTATTAATATAACGTTATATTAACAACAATATATTTTTAATATTGTTATTAAATAGTTGTAGATTTTTTTTAGTATCGTTATTGCCAAGGAATTAATTCTGTTACGATCCTAGGGGAACGGTACGAATTATCGTTACTGGAACTACGCGTAACGTTATTTTGAGTAACGTTTCAAGTCCCTGGTTTCATCATCCTTCACAAATCCACTGCTAAACTCCTACTCCAAGGAATGCGTCAAAACAGAGTCCCGTATCACTTGCAAACTGCACTCATCGATTTTCTATCATATCGTCACTCCATTTAATGGGGCCCGCCGTACACTTCGTTTACCACTACTAAAATATGTAAGGGCAGCTAATTTATGACTCTTTTAAATGCGGATACAGTTATATCATTAGAACTAGGATATTCTACAAAAAATTGTAGATATCCGCTCGTAAATTATGGTCACAGAGCGTGCCGAACGCTTTATCAACTAGCGGGCACTCACACAAGAGCGCGTAGAGGTCGCGCTGCAGTCACCACCGTAACCAAGTTATCGGCCTGATTTCACTTTGATAAATGTTTATTTTGACTGAGGACGTAGACGTAGTCGCTAAGTGACTAGTGCACCTACGGTGCAAAGAGTGCAATTTCAATGCTGATTTACCACGTTCTCGAAGGTGAAGAAAAACCTTACGAGGAAATCTGCATAGCTGAAAAATAAAACATTCCCAAGAGACTCCATCAAACAATTTCTTCACGGGAATTGTCGTAAGAGGCAGCAGAGAGAAACAAACCAGGAGACTGGGAGCAACGTCTTCCTAATAACATCTAGAAAATAAAAAACTGCGGTGGCTAACCCGCCTGCCAAGCGTGGAAACTATGGCAAATCCTCTCTATGAGGCAATCTATCGTCGAAGCCTATGTTCAGAAGCTTTGATAGACTGTAATGATGACGATGATGATGATAATGCCTGTTTGTTTGTTTTGTTTTCGAGTTATTACCCCCGATAAAAACATTATTTATGTACGCATAATTTAGCAGATAACTCCATGGCATAGTGGCTTAACAATGATTTGCCGTTGCTTAGGATGTTTGTTTTTGCGCAATTTATGTATGTTAAATGCCTGCACAATACAGGAATAAATCCTAGTATTCGTAAAATATTAAAGACAGAAAAATAAAGTGTGATGGACAGTGACCTGGCTTGAGTGACGACCACGGCTGATTGAAATGTGTCTCGGTACACATTTTTCTATAGGTCTTAGGCTAAGGTCCGAGTGGAGAGCCACTCAAGGCATTGTCATTGAGTTTCTGTATATTAACGGTGAACGAAGGATTATCAATGTTTGCAGTTTATACTGATTTATTCAAGAGGTACAAGTAGTTTCGTAGCGGGGGCTACGAGATAATGCTACGTTTCGTAGAGGGCACGGAATAAGAAAAATAATTGCCATGAGATGCGAATTAGCAGCTCTTGCCTAGCTACCTCGTAACGTGACTTCTAGCAGTAGTCCTGCACCCTGAACTCATAGTCTATCTGATGATAAATGGATGCTGTGGCCCATTTATTGACATTGACAGTTGTCACCTCTAAAAAATAAGATGAAGTGAAAGGAACCCACCAGAAAGGACCTCTGGTTTTTGTACTCATCACTCACCTATCACCATACGAAACATAGCATAGTTATAATGATTTCTTATATTTACGCGAACACTACACATTTTTAATAAAAACTAATTTTACGGATTTTATCGCGTATATTAATCTATTTTTATATTCCCGACGTTTCGGGTACTTTCCAGCACCCGTGGTCACGGGGGACTGAGGTGTTTGACTAGCGTAGCGACCGGAGACCCTTTCTACTGGAAACGAGACATTTCATGTTAGTCCTCAGGGGTGACAACGCATCTGATTCTTAATCGAGGATAGATGTTGATGATGCTCTAAAATTTTTGTACGATCAGGTGGACTTTGTGCTCGTTTGTAATTCTAAAAAAAATATCTGATTTTTTTATAACCATAAATTATATTCCAGTCAGTATAGTACAAGCGGAGCCCGTTACGTGCGATGTGCGCACGCGCATCGAGTCGGGTTGGATCTGCGGACTGCGGCGCTGGGCTGAGAACAACACTGTGTACGCGAGCTTCCGGGGTGTGCCCTATGCGAAACAGCCCCTCGGGGAGTTGAGGTTTAAGGTACGCAAAAATAAAACGGCCTATCCCATAGATCATATAATTAGTTATATGATACTATAATTAATAGCATACTACTTTTTAGACGTGTGTGAATTCTAATTGAGCTCTCTGGTATGGCTTACCCGACATTAACGGCCTTACTCATTAATATCGACATCAATTTAAGAAATCTTTAAATTTGCTCTCTTTTTTTACTAAATAAGAAAAGAACGAGACAATTAATATTAATTTAAGAAACTTACGCATAAAGTACCATTGAGATACCAACTAAGAACGATAGGCGATTGCATTAAAGTAGATTTATAAATGAACAAATTTATTTCATTAAATACAATGCTACTTAATTTGCATTCAGGAGCTGCAACCCGTTGAACCATGGGACTATTTAGACGCGTCGGAAGAAGGTCCAATATGTCCACAACAGGACGTCTTCTATGGCAAGCTCATGACGTCACAGAAGATGGACGAAGCGTGCATATACGCCAACATACACGTCCCAATCGAAGCCTTGCCAGCAACCACCCAGAGAAGACCATCCAGAGATCTACAGCCACCTTACGAGACTGGCTTAAGTGATGAGGAAGAAGAGAGACATCCAGGTCTACCGATACTGGTCTTTGTACATGGAGGTGGCTTTGCATTCGGTTCCGGTGATTCTGACTTACACGGACCCGAGTATCTAGTCAGCAAAGGCTTAATTGTCATCACATTTAACTACAGGTACTTAAGTTTTGATTTTTTAAGCTTTAAATTAAGCGCAGTACAGTTTTTGGGTGTAATCTAACAGTTCTTATAGTTCAATTAAGTAATGACTTCATAATCACAAAGTCGTGGGTTTGTTTACACCGAGCGCCGCGATAAGGTGCAAGTGATCTAGGTCAAGTTCATCTGTGATGTAAGCGTGCCTCGTGTTTGACTTCACAAAATAATGCACACACACACACACACGTATTATCAACAGCATTATGCACACATATGTGTGTTATTTATAGTATACATGTGAATGTAGCCGTGCATGTGGCGCTGGCGTAGTGTCTATGGAAGTTCTGTGTTCCACCAGTTAGTTCTAAAATCAGTAACGGTATGGATTTCTTTACGGTGCGCGCGCACACCGACAGCTAAAAACGACACCATGAAGTTGTTACGATGCACGCGCACACTGACACCTCAAAGCGAAAACTATATTTGGTAACTATCTCTCAAATTTTCGTGGGAAATGATAACTATATTAGTTATTTTTGTTTTGTTACGCTAAAGAAGTATAACTTCCTACGTGCGTACATGAGTCACACACGTTTTTTTTTTTTTAAATAAAAGTTCGAATGAAAAACGAGCACGCAGTCCACCCGATGGTAAATGGATGCTGTGGCCCATAAACATCTATCCTTCATTAATAATTAAAAAGTAGATTCCTTACCATCCCCGGGGGCGTCCTCGTCCCTCACTCTAGGAAACACAGTGTTTGAGTCGTTCCCCGGTCATGCTATCCTATTCCTTCGTGTTGCAGCCATAATACAATATATAAATTGGCGGTTCCCTTTCTAATGTTGATGTCTATGTGCCACTGCATCCACTTTTCATCGGGTGAAATGTGTGCTGGTTTGTCACCCGTATTCCTTAAAAAAATATCTCTTCAATTAAGTGTTTAGTTGGGTATTCTGTCGGTTAATTTGATTTGCGATACGATTTTTTACTTACGTGCTACGTAAAGTAATATGAAAAACAAACATTGCGAATGTTAATGCACCCAATATAGAGATCGCGCACGGAACCAGTTTGAGGTTTTAACATTGAATCGTTTTAAAAAATGAGCGACTTACACGTGCCGGCCTTAAAGTTCGGAAACCTGATTTAAGTTGTAGACAATAGCTATAATGCACTGACAGTTTTTGTTCCTCGTTTTTTTTTTTCCGTGAGTCTTCCAACAACGACTTACTTTGACAAGGTCCTATCGGTCAGAGCAATTACGTATGTATTTTTGTGACATGTACGTTATTACGAGCTGAGTATACAAATTGTCACATAAGTAACCATCTCAGGGTTCACGCCATCTCACGGTAGCTGTGGGTATAGCCAAGTACAGAGTATCGTATATTTCAAAAAAATTAACAGATTAACAGATACTTTTCATTTCATTAAATTGTATTAATTTAATGAAATGAAAAATATTTTTAAGATTCTTAAGAGTATATCATTATCATCATCATCATTATCATCATTACAGCCCTTCACAAGTCCACAGCTGAACATAGGCCTCCCCAAATGCCTGCCACAATGAGCCACCTGCATCCAACGACTTCTTGCATGTCTTACCAGGTCGTCACTCCATCTAGTGAGGGGACACCCTACATTTCGCCTACCGGGACGAGGCTGTCACTCGAGAATTTCTTCCCCATCGGTTGTCGGTCCTTCAAGCTATATGGCCGGCCCACTGCCACTTCAGCTTACTAATCCGTTGGGCTATGTCGGTTACTCTGGTTCTACTGCGGATATCCTCATTTTTAAGGTTCCGTACCCAAAGGGTAACCAACGGGACCCTATTAATAAGACTACGCTGCCCGTCCGTCTGTCTGTCAGCGGGCTGTATCTTATGATCCGTAATAGGTAGAACAGTTGAAATTTTCACAGAATGTGTAATGTATATTCCCACGCTCGGAGATGGCAACCGCTGTTTTTCTTATTATTTTAAAGCCTCTGCTCATTTACTGTTTCAGTTACCCTCTGTTGCCTCTTACGACACCCACGGGATGTTATGGGGTAGTGGATATTCTTTTAAAGCCATTCATTACACGGTTGTTAAAACGAAGCCATACCTATTAAAACGTAATATACTATTTCCAGACTCAACGCCTTGGGTTTCCTGTCCCTCAACACCTCAAGCATACCGGGCAACAATGGACTGCGCGACATCGTGACCTTGCTGCGTTGGGTGCAGACTAACGCGAGAGCCTTTGGAGGGGACCCCGAACAAGTAACGCTGGCTGGACAGAGCGCTGGTGCCAGCGCCGCACATTTGGTATCGCTATCGCCGGCAGCTGAAGGATTATTCAAAAGGTTCGCTAACCGGTACTTGTCGGATATGTAGAAAGCAGTTTATGAATCATCATCATTATAGCCCTTCACAAGCTCATTGCTGAACGTTTTTCTATATTTAATTTTATAGAACAAAGATAAAAGAACAAGGGTGACAAAAGAGCACACAGTTCACCTGATGGTAAGTGTATGCTGTGACGTATAGACATCTACATTTATCCACAATTAAGAATCAAAATGCAGATGCGTTGTCACCCTGAGGACTGAGATGGAATGCCTCGTTTCCAGTAAAAACGGTTTCCGTTTCTCTACACTCAACGTACGAAACGCAGCAGCATTAAGCTGCTATTTTACGCTGGTATTCTGTGAGAGCGTGGTCCCACCCCGGTCGAGCCGACCCATTCGTGCTACAACAATAATATAGCTGTATCATCGCTCTACCACGTATAGACATGCAGAAAAACGATAAATGCAGATGGCTTGAAACCGTGCTTTGTGGGATCCCTTGGCCTATGAATTTTGTGCGTGGTAGAGCCACACTGCAGCTTATTATTGATACTTCCTAAAATAGTATAAGCTCGGTAAATGCGTTAACATAAAATACTCAAATTCTTAATCGAACAGATTTTTAAATTCCTTCATAATAATCGAGATAAAGATATTATAATTTAATCATCGGGGAAAAAACTTTGACCCTCCAGTTCTCGTTTTTGACAGCGATCACCATAAAATATATTGTTAGGCAATAAGCCGTGAAGTGGCGGTGTAAGAATATCCACTACCCCATATCATCCCGTATGTGTCGTAAGAGGTGACAGAGGGAAACAAATCAGGAGATGGGCAGCAACACCTTGCTAATAACGACAAAAAAAACTGCCGTTGCCAACCCGCTTACCAAGCGTGGCAAGTATGGCAAATATCCCCCCTATGAGGTAATCTATGAGGCCTATGTTCAGCATTTGACTTTAATAGGCTGTAACGATAGCAATGAATTATTAAATTACATTCTTAGTCGCCTACATTTTTATTTAGATCCATTATTTCGATCGACGACAATTTTGTTATTTAACATCTTTCAATTCCAGACTGATATTGATGAGCGGAACAGCAATACCCACATTCTACACGACCTCGCCAGCCTACGCAAAATTCATCGCCAACATGTTTCTTTCACAACTCAGCATAAACACTACAGAACCTGAGGAAGCGCACCGCCAACTAATACAAATCCCCATTGAAAAGATCATGAACGCCAACAGTCTCCTAATAGACCAGATGGGATTAACTACATTCCTGCCAGTAGTAGAAAACCATTTTCCAGGTGTTACAACAATAATAGACGAAGACCCGGAAATACTAATGGCCCAAGGACGAGGCAAAGACACTCCAATGCTAGTCGGCTTCACGACCGCTGAATGCGAAAGTTTCCGTCCGAGGTTCGAACAAATAGACATACTAACAAGGTTAAATGAAAATCCACTGTTAATGATATCTCCTAACGTTATTTTTAATACACCTACAAGCGATTTACTAAATATAGCGAAGAGGGTGGAACAAAGATATTTTAACGGATTGCCTAGTATGGACAAATATATTAAATGTTGTTCGGACACGTATTATATTTACCCTGCATTCAAATTAGCGCAAAGAAGAGTAGCAATGGATGGTGCACCGGTGTTTTTATATCAGTTCTCATACGAGGGGGAATTCAACGTCATAAAGGAGGCAAACGGGATAAAATATAAGGGAGTTGGTCACGTAGAAGACTTGACTTATGTGTTCAGAGTAAATTCAATGCTGGGTTCTCACATATCGTTCCCGCCTAGTAACGACGACGATATGATGAAAGGCTGGATGACTAAGATCGTAAGGAATTTCGTGAGTTGCAGGTAAATATGACACACATTCAATTTTCTTACTACCTCGTATTGGACGCCTATAAATTTTTGATACTAGCTAGCATTATGTTTTGCCTTACTGTGAGTTACGTAGTATATGGTTATTGATTTTTCCAGTTTAAGAACAATGTCTTAATTTGAATTAATGTCTTAACATTTCTGGAGAACAAGTCTGGACACCTTTATTTTTGATCATCAGTCATTTTTAGATCAAAGATGTTATCAATTATTTTTTTACAAATATAACCTTTGAAGTGAGCCTTTGATGTAAAAACAATAGATTTATGTCTTGTACTATACCTGCAGCTATATTAAAGATCAGTTTTAATGTTTATTGCTAAATGAATTTTTAAAATAAATTTTTAAGCCATGACAGTAAATTCACTATTTCGATATCTTGCTACCAATTCAACAAACACTGATTAAATCTTATATTTTTATCACAAAAATTAAATTCAAACTATCAATTTCAGTAAACCCACCTGCAATAGACACCAGGGACCTTGGTTGCCGGTGGACAAAGAGCTCCGCTATCAAGACATAGTGAGAACTTCCTACTACTGGTCTACCTACCCGAATCAGTCACAGCACGAGATGATGCAGTTCTTTGACAGTATATACAACAAGACTATATGAACTGTCCACAAAAAGACTGAGATTATGTGATGGTATGATAAGCAGTGATTGCGCCTGTAGTGATAAAACAGGTGATAGTTTGCGAGCAATTATTTATAATAACGAGTACGATTGAAACTGTTAATTTGTTGCTATTTATGTATGTATGATTCAACACTTGTTGGTTCTATAGTACAAAATAACTAACGATACAAAATATATTGAAACGTATCTTGGTTTATAACATATAGAGAAAACTTAGTTACAAAAATAAGTTCCTAGGACGAAAACTATTTTTTTTTTATAATATGAGATACATAAAAATTTTGACTCCACGCCCAAGCAGCAACAAACTCTAACAACCATTTTCAAAAAGTGGAATCTATTGAGAAAATTAAATTTAACAACTTTTCAAAACGAAAAAAATCACAGACCCTATTCACTAAAGAAAACAACGTTTTATATTTTCTATTTTCTGTAAGGCCTAATCGAAGACGAGAAAAATAATTGCGTGAATTACAATTTTTTTAGTTCTTTTCTCATGTTTTTGAATAGAAATAACCTGCCCAACCATACAGCAGATATTAATGTATCAATAGAGAAATGGAAGAAAGAGAATGTAGACCTGGTTTTACAAATTAACGTTTTCAACCATTGCTCGTTGGGTGAAGGTACTTCTATTTAATAGAGAATCATAAGACTCGGTATTATAAACTGTGAGCCATTTTAGAGTTAAGTTTGATATAATGTAAGGAGTCATTAGACATACTAGTAAGTAAAAGTAAAAGTAAAAAGATCGATTTGTATTTTATGTGCAAGAACCATAAGAAAATTATAAAAGAGGATTATATAATATAATCTTTATCAACTACATTCAATATACATATAAATTATTGAATGCAGTTGATAAAGCAAATTTCGAGCATTGGTGCATTAAAACTGCGCAAAAACGGACTAAATCGTCCTCACCTTTCTGTCATTACGCCTTTGAGATAAGGTCGGGAGAGGTTAAGATGTGTCAGAGACAAAGAAACATTCACAACATGCAGTTTTAGAAACTGCTTTTCATTTCAATTAGTGGACTGCTTAAGTATTAGCTACTGGATTCGAAGCCAGGATACACGAATCATCAGACAGGGACACTGACTGTGTGGCCCTTAATAATTAGCTAGTATTTAATAATTGCGATATTAATTGCGTTCTTGTTTGTGCTAAGGTTTTTGAAATAATTTATGTTCGAACTGGTTGTTGTAATTTGTTTTTAAGTTTTTTTTGTACACTTTTACAGGCTTAGAAGCAATGTCAAAATGCTAGTCGTTTGATATTTGATTTTAAATGTAAGTCAAGTAAACTAGTTATATATACTACTTTAATTATGAAGAGTCTGAAAGACATGTGATGGTTTTGTATTTAAGTGAATAGTGACATAAAATAGTGAAGGATAATCATATGATGAATAAAGTGAATGTGAAATTCCATCTTGTTTCTTTTTACTTTAAATTATTTTTATAAATATGTCTTAAAGACAGGAAGGGAACAGGGTTAGTCTAAGATTAAATTGAAACAAAGCTTAAGAAAGCAAGAGAATAGGATTTGATGTAAAGCAATAAATAAATAAAAAGTTTATAGTAAAAAAAAAACAATTTTGCAGAGAAGCATTTCGTTATAACTATGGCATCAGAACGTCTAATATCTCATCTCACCTTCCCGCGACTATTGGTGTTGCAGGCATATAATACACAGAGAATTCAATATAAGTTCAAATCCAAAGAGTGCGATATCTACACATACATGCGGTCTGTCGGACAGCATGTATGTGTAGATATATAGATATTGATGTAAGAGAAGCGAGGTGTGTAAAGATCATGCAAAAAGAAATTCCGTAGTTTACGTTGTTTTATTTTGATGTGAATGTTTGTGTGGGATGGTGCCACACACGGATGACCCCACTCGCTGGGGGCCATTAGACCACCGTCAGCCTCGCCTTTTAAAATTGCCAAAGAAATGGAGATGATAGGTTATCCTCACGCTGCAGCGATGGAGATGTGGGATGCAATTTACGAAAAAATACTATACAAGAAAAAAAATATTGCCCGTTAAACTTTAAACTATATTTATGGTATTATAATACAGTTAGAGATCGTGTAATTAAAAATCTCCCTTGTATTTTTGGTAGATATTATAACTTATCATGGCAAATATAGCAAACACAATAAAATCTTTTAAAACACAATAGAAACGGCGAGCAGATATATATATTTTATGAATTCTACGAATAATACAAGGAAGGGCAAGTACAGTTTTAACTTACACAATCTCTATTGTCGTGAAACATGAAAACGAAAAGGGATGAAGGATGTTGTATCCCTTTGCATTTTCTATCGAATTTACCACGGGGAGTGTTCTGAGGAATTGTTCGGATTAATTCCAGCCGCCAAATTTCACGAACGCACATCGCGTCAAAATTCACGATACCATCCTCACCATCTGGATGCTTAGCGGTCCACGACTGTGCGTTTTACTAGGAGTTTCCTTCCTCGTACAACTTCTCTGTGGAATTGTTTACCACCGGCGATTTTTTCGGACTGATACGACTTAGGGACTTTCAAAAAAGAGCTTACACCTTTCTAAAAGTCCGGCAACGCATCTGCAACTTCCCTGGTGTTGCGGTTGTCCATGAGCGGCGGTAGTCACTTAACATCACGTGAGCCGCATGCTCGTATGCCCCCTTTTCCATTAAAAAAAAATGTATGGTAGATAGGACTAATAAATTGTTTTAAGCAACAACTAGTTTTTGTTTGTAAGATGTGAACAATTAATCATTTTAACCATTCTGATATTCATCGCAGCTGCAGTATAAGTAACATCATTACAGCTTTTCACAAGACACAAGTCTACGGCTGAACATTAGTCTCCCCCAAGGTATCCTGATGAATGCCCCAAAACATGGTCCCAAGTCATGCGTATCCATCGACTTCTAGCATGTCTTATTAGGTTGTGATTCCATCTAGTGGAGTTTCAACCTCGAGTTAGCTTACCTGTATGAGGCTGCCACTCGAGACCTTTTCTTCCTCATCAGCAAGTGTGACTGTGGGAATCGTAGTTGGCATCGTTTCGACGTTTAACTTTTGATTTCGTTGTATTGCGTATAAGTTACAGTCTATATACGTCTCGCTGGTGGGCACGGGCCTCCTCTCATTTCTGAGAGGGTTTTACGGCAAGGAAATGTCCGCCGCGCTGCCCCAATGCGTGTTGGCGAACTTCACACGTCTTCGAAACTTTTTTCCTTATTTCTCAGATATGCATGCATTACAATGTTTTCCTTCACCGGCTAGCACGTGATAAATAAGCACTTGAAATTGCAATTAGGTTTCCCCACAATTTCATTGGTGCCGGCGCGGATAGAATTTGGGTTGCTCGCGTAGGTACTGTGAAACTTACAGCGCGCGCTAATCATCTGAGCTATAACGGCTTTTCTGAGTTACCACGGCTCTTGTAGTAGTTTCTCTGTGCCTTTTAGCTTAAATATGATTTGATCTATACCAAGTAATGGTATAGATCAGATAATTAATAAATATTAATTGCGTATAAGTTTGAAATAAAAAAGCCTATGCCTTTTCTTTATCAAGTTTTCCGGAGTAAATACCCCCGCTTATTTCCAAACTGACCCAGAAGGGGGGAGTGTATGTAGTATATTACTGTTGTAAGAACCTATCAAAGGTTCAATGCTTTATTAGGAAGACACAGCCGCCCATCTTCTGGTTTGTTTCTTTCTGTCGCCTCTTACGACATACACGGGTCGATATGAGTATAGTGGATATTACACCGCTACTACACGGTCACGGTATTTTCTTTTTTCCGTAGAGTCGGGTTTTTTTTTCATTACTATTTTAACCAGCGGAATTTTAAGCTTATAGTAGTTTCTCTGTGCCTTTTAGCTTAAGTATTATTTTATTACCGGTAAGTATATTTTGAACTTTTTTATACTCCGCCAAAGTGGCTATACCTCTTGAACATACTTAAGAGTAAATTAACAACACAGTTATCAACAGTATAACTAGCAATTAGTTCGGATGCCTTTGACGAGACATGGGTTTTTCTTTAACGAAAATGAGAAAGATCAGACAAAAGAAAAAACAATAGATTTAGAAAGGAAAAAAACCAAGTGTACACTGTCGGAACGATGACATGAATGTACTGATGTAGAGGATTATTTATCCAAACTATAGACAAGGAAATTAGTGACGGAAATTATAGTAGCAAATAATTGCTGTATGCTTATTGCCAAAGCGATTGCATCAATGTAAAGGGAATGTGCCTGAAATTTTGGTCTAGCCTACAATAAAATATATACCTTTGATATTGTGGGGCGCCACAATTAATGGAAGGTACATGACAACAATACTTACCACTAGCGCCCTCTAGTATCGAGTAGTAGAACTAGGAGAGTCATGATCCTTCTAGAAATTTCCTTGGAAGAACTATCGACACCTAGTTAATCGGGAGTCGGGACCGATATGTACTCGAACATTCTAGAAGTTTTTATAGTAGAAGGTTCTGGAAACTACACGAGGCCCTATATAAGGCTGTTATAGACCGCGACCGGGGAGTATTGAATTGGCGATACAAGCGAATACTTCGAAGCAATACAACTGCGAACTAAAGTGATCAGTAGTACAATTGTGTTTCATTATTAGTGTGGTTTTAAGTTGTAATTAGTGTTCTGTAATTAAAGTGTCAATTTTGGTAATTCAATCGGCAGTTTTTATCGTCTCGAACCCCAAGCTCGTAACAATATTTTTTCATTATCATTTATTTTGTAGGGGGGGATTTGTCCCGGACAACATCCACAGGAAACGATTCCCACTAGCGTACGCAATCATAGTGTAGTTCTTAAATAAGGTGCCAGTATTTGGATTTACAAAGCTTTAAGTTTTTGGCTTGGCGCCGAGCGAATCATCATATTACATCCTGACACTTGGCACATAAAACTGGAGCAACAAATGCTTTTACAGCTATGG